GGGGGGGGGGGGGGGGACACACACAACCAAAATAATTTAAATGACAGACTGGAAGACAGGGTTTATGAAATTATTCTCTTGAGTTTATAAATTGTTAAACTCAATTTATAGCTATGTTAAACTACTAAGAACCACTATACTGAAAGACCATTGAAGAGTATTAGTTTATCTTTTGGGGAGGAAAATTAAGAAAGGAAAAGTAAATAAGATCTTACCTAAAGAAGTTTAACTGAAGCTTAGAACTATTTGCTCTACACCCTCAGCTTTCGTTGGCATCCTTATAAACTACTGTAGTTAAAAGCTTTGTAGAAACAGCACAATTTTTTAAGACTGGCTGAACTTAGTAGCCGCCAAGAGTTTTCTTGTACTAGACCTGTATCCCTGAAGAGTACCTCGCTGGGGTTATTTCCTTTCCTTGCATTGAAGAAGCAGCATCTAAAAGATCTAAAAAGGTGTTTCTCCTTGCAGAGATATCCCTTAAGTTATCTAGATAATTTAATCCTGATGAATTGCAGACAACACACTTATATCTGACCAGCATTTATCTTACACAAATATAACAACAGCTTTGCAATGGACCTTAGTTATACTACCCACTCCTTAACTTATTTAAAATAAAAAGTCTATAATTACACAATTTCCTTTAGAATTATTTTATTAAATCATAAATGTACAACAGCTTCTTAACTCTACACACGCACTTAAATTTTTTTAAAGGAAAAACGTTATGTCTTATTACACCATGATCCTGGCTAATAGCTTTTCAAAACTTTGAGAAAAATCTTAAAAAAGGTTTCACATGTCACCTGAAACTTACAAATTTAACATTATCAAAGAAGGAATGCTTCTACACTCTTACAAAGACCACTAGAAATAAACAACAATTAAAAAGCTAAGAAACTGTCTCAAAGGCATTTTTTTTTACAATCCTTCCTCCACAGTAAGGTAATGTTATTAAATAATCCAATCCATTCACAAAATGGCTCTCTGCATCTGCTCTGGTGTCTTCTGCCATATCACTGCATACTTATGCATGACTGAGATAAGAGTTTCCTTAACATTGTTATTCGATAACCTGAAGCTGTTCTGTTACCTCTGGGCTCTCATCCTCTCCTATTTATACAGTGAAGCCTGTTTCAACAGAAGTAAAGAGTAAAAAAAAAATAGGTTATGAAATTATCCATCTAACCAGGTTTTAAGGAAAGATAACATGATCCTAAAAAGCTTTTACTCCTGACAGCTAGGTCTCCCCAAGACAGTAATAATGTAAAACTCAAAAGCTACTTACCCATGGCAAATAGGAAGAAGCTCAATATCGGCTTCTCCCTCCATAGCCCCCACTTCCTCCACTTCCTCCAGGACCATAGTTTCCTAGAACATGACAAAGGAAACTTACTTCATTTCCCATAAGCAGCATAATAATTAATCGTACCTTGTATTTATCTATGGGCTTTAAAACATATCAGAACCATTGTTTCTAATTATCTCCAAAATAAATTATCCAGGTATGACTGAACCTACTCTTTTAGAGGGTTATCATTTGGAGCCAGTAAGGAAGGTGTATTTAAAAAATACTGAGAGGCATAAGAAATCTATTTGGCCCTACTACATAAAAACTTGAATAATGATTTATGATTAACTTATTAACATTTAAGAGACAACTCATTCAAATTTAAAACACTTTGCTATGTGCTTGGCAATTTTATTTGGCTCTCATATAATCAGCCAAGGGATAAAAAAACAACCCCCACACAAAATATCTAACCTACTTTCCTAACTTGTAAATACAGGGTGGAGTACAAGTAGGGTTACAGTTGTGAATACATTAAACAGTATTTATTCTTGTATTAATTATTATATTATTTTCCCTATGAATTGTAAACCTCCTTTTGCCCCATCCTGTATTTTACTCTACATAACTTCCCACCATTCATCACACCAAATCCAAGCTGAAGTTACAACTGAATTATTTCTGGGAATTTCAGTGACCTTTTAAACCAGGGGTAGGGAACTTCCAACCCTCAAAATCATTTGATCTGGCCCTGTAAGGCATTAGAGGAGTAAACTGAATGTTTGACCAAATATAGCAGGCTACTTTTTAAGTTGATAACTTTGTGTTGTCCTCGAATGTTATATCCTAATGGCTCTTGGCAGAAAAAAAGTCCCGGCCCCCCCCCCCCCCCCCCCCCCCCCAACCGACGCCCCGCCCCGCTATAAACCATGAGCATGTTATCTTTGCCATTCAAATCATGTCAAAGACTAATCCTTCCCTTTAACCCCACAAAATGACAAAGAATGTAACAAATTACCTCCACCATATGGTCCCCCCATGTTCCTGCTACCACCAAAATTTCCACTCTTCATTGGACCATAGTTAGATGGTTGCTGGTTATAATTTCCAAAATCATTGTAATTTCCACTTCCGTAATTTCCTGTTAAAAAAAAAAAGTTTAAATTCAAGTTTTGCATAATGACCCTCAGAATTAACAAATTTAAACAGTGATACATGCCAAGTATTTACAACAAATCTCCCAAAAAAGCAAATCAGAATAAATGCAAAACACCTATCTACAATTCTACAATTTTAAGGCAACTATTGACAACATTGAAATGAAAGAAAAGTCATTAATTCCACTCCAAATTCCCACATAAAGGTTGCAGGTGAATTTATTACCTCCTCCATAGTTGTCATAACCACCTCCGTAGCCCCCACCCTGGTTGCCATATCCAGGTCCTCCACCACCATATCCTCCTCTTCCTCCTCCATAACCAGGGCTACCTCCAAAATTGCCACCTATTATAAAATAAGCCTTTAAGTAATTACTTAATATTTTCAATGCCATTTGAACTGTCTTATCAAACCCATTTCCAGCTTTCCAAAACATGTTTTTTTAAGTAATATATTTGTTCTATGAAATCTCTTCTAGAACAGCCTCAAGGGCAGAACAAAGTATTCCTGTTAAACATCTGGGGGTGGGAAATACACACCCACAACCAACTTGATAAAACCATTAGAGACAAATACCTATTAGTGTCACTGCTCTTCCCTGAAATTAAAGGTATTAATGGTTCTGTTTAAGATACCTTGTATTTTGTGTTAATATTTCTAAGGGTAGATGAGGTGTAAGCTAATAAAACAAGAGCCACCCCCATCACCTTAAGTGGTCCAAAAGATTCAAAGTTCCCAACTCAGATTTATGTTTCCTAATAATATGCTCACTACACCCTTCACCTGAATAGAAATGGGGGGGTATCAGAAATTAGCAAACTGATGGGCAATTAATTTGGATTTCAAAGCAAAGTTGGAAATATGTAGGTATAATTTAGTTATGTGTAATTTGTGACAAAATCGGTCTTTTGCTAGCTCATTTTGAAATGTCTTTACTAGGAATTTGCCAGCAGATGTCAACCTTTTCTGTATTCCAACAAAACATCTAATATATCATTTAATATGTAACAGTGGCTCATAACCTTACCTGAACCCAACAGCACCCTTGTGTATTTTGGAAATATTCCTTTGGTGACATTTGGGAAGTTACCCTGGGGGACTAGTCTTATTAAGAATTAAAGCAACATAATTGCTATTACATATATTCCCCTTACATGTTGATAATGGTCATATCTAATGCCCTATACTTCTTCAGGGAATCAATACATAAAGTATCACATCTATGTCCAATTCTTTTGCTTGAGAAACAGGATGGCATCTTTAAATTCTCATTTAAAATTCACCCAAATGATCTTGCACCCTATACCACAAGTATACTCTTTCCTTCAGCTATACACAAGCTAAGGTGTGAATTACAGGAAAAGCCAAATGACTAAAACCACCATCACTTAAAGTTTTTCATCAAAGGTAAAATGGAAGACACAGAAAAACCTCATGTATATATTAAACTGGACACACAGCATGATTTAATCTTTTTAAGCCCCATAAATCAAAATGTTTAAGAAACTGACCTCCAGGCCCTCCTCCATACCCATTATAGCCATCCCCAAATCCACGACCACTTCCATAGCCATCTGTTAGGGGGGGAAAAAAAATTATGATTAATATACCCTATTCAGGTTTCTTATCTTCCTTTCCTCCATATTCTCTATTATAACCTATGGATGATTAGGAACCATCTCCCTTTATGTTGAACATTAGTATCAGTACTTTATTCTTCAAAATAAACACACCAAAGTATAATTCATTAAACCTCACTGTCAAGATAACGGCCTGATTTGCGGGCTTGGACTTGGCAAACCTCAATTTAAGAGGTTCCATTTATTTACACAAGAATGACATTTAATGGGGTCCACATTATTTTATTCAGATAATTACTTGAAGTCTAAATAAAAAAACCATTAACAAAGATATAAACGTTTTTAAGCCCACAGGTAAAGTTTCTATGGTATTTCCACTCACTATTCAGAGTTATTTGGTAGTTTTTTAAGGTGGTTGTAAAGCCATTTTAAATGTTCTTAAAGACCACAAAAGGGATTTCTATAATTGTCCTTCATTAGCTTTAAGATTATGTCTGAACTACTACCTCTTACCTAGCCAAATCAGAATATCTCATCTACTTATAAAAAGTTAAGAATATCATCTAAAAATTAAGCTGATTTCATGATTCTAATCAAATATGAGTCGCAGTTTTCCAATCAAGCATATTCATCCTTCAATATTTAGAACTTAAAACTTACCAGATCCTCCTCTAAAGTTACTTCCTGGTCCTGGTCCAAAATTTCCACCACCACCTCGAGAGTCTCCAAAACCAAAGTTGCCTGCAATAAGTGCCCTAATTAGTAACAAGCACTTACACAAAGAAATCTTTAAAAGAAAAAAAATGGAACTAAAAGGTACCTCCTCTTCCACTTGTAGAATTTTGAACTTCCTGCATTTCTTGTCTAGACAAAGCCTTTCTTACTTCTGCATTATGACCATTGATGGTATGGTATTTCTGCACTGGAAGGGAAAATTCAAACTTAAATCAGCATTCTATAAATTATAACTTACTTTAAAGTTTGCCTTTTAATAAAGATGTAGGTATTAACATACCCAAAACTTAATCTATAAAAGGGGCATACATCTAGTGCTTATACACAATCTTATACACTTACACACAATCTTATCCACAGGATCATGGTCATCAAAAGTAACAAATCCAAAGCCTCTCTTCTTTCCAGACTGCCTATCAGTAATTATCTCAATGGTATCAATTTTTCCATATTCTTCAAAGTAATCTCTATGGGATGGGGGGGGGGGAGGGGGAGTCAATTCATGACCACAGAAACTAAACATGATTGAAAGCATCTCTGGGTACTACCAAAAATTGTTTCTATCCTATGATAAAATACCAGGTAAAGCAACAGCTTATGAATAAGAAACTCGTCTTTAGGAAATAAACTACTCCAGGGAAACCACCATAGCTTAAATTGAGCTGGATAAAAAGAATTAAGTTCTTTCAAAATTTACATTTTATCTTCAGTAGGACAAAATTTTCTTCACATTTATTGCACGAAGTTATGCTATGCTCACCTCTCTTGCAACAGCACGTTTTGGCTCAACCACTCTTCCATCAATTGAATGAGGTCTTGCAGCCATGGCGGCATCAACCTCAGCCATGGATGAAAAAGTTACAAAACCAAATCCTCTTGATCTTTTGCTTGCAGGATCTCTCATTACCTTTAAAACCAAAGGGAAACCAGCATTTGATCTAGTTATCTGTTCAATTAAAAGCATTTTTAAATTAAGAACAGAGATTTAAGTTATTTTCTCCAGGATTCACTCAGTATTTTAACCCCTAGAGTGCCAGGGAGCGTGATCACACTCCTCCTGACTTTCCCCAAAAGTGCTGGGAGCGCTATCATAATTTTTATCCTAAACTGCTGTAAAATCAGCAAAAATGCCTTGGCAATTTTAGCATAGTTCCTAGGATATTGGTTGGCACTCAAAGGGTTAAACAAATCAGCCCAACAGTTGAAGGACTAGTATGTAAAGGCAATTTTATGTATTTAACGTACCACACAGTCTGTAAGTTTCCCCCATTGCTCATAGTAGTTCCTCAAACTTTCTTCTGTGGTTTCAAAGCTCAAGCCACCAATAAAGAGTTTACGGAACTGTTCCTTTTCTCTCTGCAAAGGAAAACACCATTTCAATTTTTATTTACATTTTCTCTTTGTATGCAGGAATTTAAATTCTTAAATATAAGGTGACCTGCTGGCAGAGTACCTTTTTCCTCTCCAAAGGAACAGTTTCTAAAGTTTTCTGGAGGGAAAAAAAAAACTTACATCAAATTTAAACCATATGTTAAACTGTATATTTAGTTGTGTTACACCAAAAAATTTCGTCAGAGGTACTACACGTTTCAAAGTCATATGCTTCATTTAAACTTACTTGACATTAATTCTCATACATTCAGTATCACTTAAAATACTTTCTGAAGAGAAAGGAGCAAATCTATTCCCTGGTCATTGAAGAGTTAAGAAATTCTCATCAGAAATTGCATTCAACCCTATATCCTAGAACAGAATTTAACATTAAATACTCAGTTTTTACCATTTAGGATTTAAAGTGTTTCATTTCTTTCATTTGCTCCCTCTGGTGGAGATTTAATGTATCGCAATAAGAAAAAAATCCTTTCCCCATTTACCAACATACTTTCGATTGGGGTAAAAACTTAACTGTTCAATATATGTAGCAAAATATCCTTAAAATTTACTCTCTGACCAACCCGGACTGATCTTCATGACCAACTAAAGATTGTTTATATCTTAAAAAGTAATAACCATGATTTCGTGGGCACTCCAATTTCTGGTACTTAAATTGACAATTCAGAAACAAGCTGAATATAGGGCTAACAACCATTATTAAGTCAGTAAAATACATTCACTGTAAGCACTTCACTTTTCTAAATTTTAACATAAAAATATTTAAATGAGCACTGTGACTACTACCACTGGGAAAAAAACACAGAAAGCTCAAGCATATTGAACTTATTATTGGACATCTGACAAGCTATACAACATACGTGTTTCTATAATTTTACAAGCAAAAAGGATAAAAGCCTGGGATGAAATCTCTTAATCCCCACAAACCAGCAAGCAAATAACTAGCTGTTTTATCAGTCCTGAATTTGGAGCTGAAAAGTATGGATTGGAAGTCATCTGGTTTTCAGGTGAATACATTTTTTTAAAAATTAGTTCTGCTGTCCATGACCAACTGCTATGCATGTGCAATATAAATTAAAAGATCAAATTAATGTGACTTTCGATACAACAGGAAATTTTATTCCCAAATAGCATTATAACTCAACCCAGTCATATGCAGACTTCTCCCTGAGCGCGTGACATTCTCCCATTAACAAAAAAATACACTGATAAGCAAGTCAGACATTTTTTTTTACTGTTAACTGCTTTCAGGAATCTGAAAAAAATTTCAAGATTAACCAATTATCAAACTAGCTCCTAATACATTTAAATGTCAATATATTAAAATGATTACTTTGCATATTGGTATATGAATTCTTAAAGCTAACTTTACTTGCTAAACACTGTATTGTCAGAAAAATAGGTGTTTTAAACCCTAAGTAAATTACTGAGATTAAAGAAGTGCATATACAATTTTTTCAAATCACTAACAAAAGCAAAAGCTTACTTACCTCAGTTTTCTCCAAACTTACCTGATGTCCACTATCGATTACAAATTTATTTTACAAGGGAACACAGAGTGAAAGAAAATGCCCAGGTAGACCCCCCCCTCGCTTGAGACCTTATACTTATCAATGTAATGATCAACCATGATTGCAAACATAAATGAAAAAAAAGCAAGTGACAAAGTTCAAATACATAGCGGCACAGCCAAAAACCTATCTACAGCAATACACGCATTGAAGGACTGAGCCGTGTTTTTTAAAAAGTCTGAAGGATAATCATTTCTATTTCACTTCCGATTACTTACAAGAATGCATGGTCTTAACCAGTAAAGAATAATTTGACAGGTAAAAGTATTTAGACTACGAAAAATACAATTCAAAGGGAGGCCTTCAGGAAAATGAAGTTTTCAAAAATGAATACGCCCGCAGCTATAACCTTCCCCACAGCTACCCATAACGGGTACTAATCTGATGGGTCCTAATTTTGGTTTTATTTCTAATTGTAAAGTTGGTTGCAAAACTGACTTTTTAGTCACCGCAGACCAGGGGGGGGAAAAACCGTTATTCAGAGAAATAAGCACTGCAAAACAAAATGTTTTCTTTGTGCTTTGGGTCGCCTTAAAACTGGGCTCAACGCTTTACCGG